AGTGAGACACGATTTCCTGAACCGAAAAACAACGTAATAAATCACATACAAACACGTAACTGGATTAAGAGACTAAAAAGTTTTCAAGACCCTAGACATTAGGGAAGAAAAGGCGAAATACTGAAGAAGACGTCAAGAAAAAAATACAAAATATTGAAAAATATGTGTTTCTAAAAAGTAGTTTTCAATACAAATAATTGACGGCATCTCATCCCAGAGCTTTCCTGGAGATGAAATGACACAGCACACGAAGAATGGAGAGGCCACCGGCTTCAGCCCAGGTAGACCTCAAATCCTTAGTAACAGCACGAAGGTGCTCTGATTACCCTTACTTTCAGCATTATTTTTGAAGACCGGTAATCTACTTACTTAGTTGTGCTGTGTATGAATATTTTACTATTTGGAGATTTTATGCCTTTTCTGTCTTGGATATAATTAGAGAGAGATGAGGGATTTGCATTGTGGAAGAGATCAATGGATTTGACTACATACAAGTTACACAAACAGGCAGAAGTCTGTGGATATCAAAAAGTATGACCAGCAAAGTTAGTCGGCAAATGGTAAATGAGTTAGAGTACCTGCAATATGCCAAGGAAGAGGTTAGGATCACTAATTCATGTAAACAGGAAGGTGGTTACCAGGGTCTGGGGAGAAGGGCTGGGATAATGAGGAATTTACGTTTAGTAGCTATAGAGTTTCAGTGTTGAAAGATGAAAATGTTCTGGAGATCTGTTGCACAACAGTGCAAAAATACTTCACATTACTGAACGATACCCTTAAAATGGTTGAGATGCTAACTTTAATGTTACGTGATTTCTACCACAGTAAAAAAAAAAAAAGATTTATAACAAAGTTATAAGAAGAAATTGAGTTCCCAATGAGCCAAGAAGATGGGCAAAGAACAAATGCTTAATAAGGAAATAAACATGTCATCTAAGAAGGGCCAATTAGAGCAACGCTGAGATATAATTTTTGCTTAATAAACCGTCTGTTTTCTAAATGTTAGTATTTTGTGTTGGTGGAATTGCAGAAAATGGGTATCATTACACATGGCAGGGGGAATTTTAAATTGGTTAAGCTTTCTGGAAGGCAGTTTGGTGAACATCATAAAAAAGTAACACAATATTGAATATCCTTTGATTCAAATTTCTTTCTAACAGTTGACTTGGAGGAATTCATTAGAAATGTGTGCAAAGATTGTTTTACAAAAATATACACCATAAAATCTTTTATAACAAAAAACTTTTAAATTTTCAGCTTGTGTGTTAGTATCATGGAGATATACGGGAACTTCTGTTTGGGCCTAAAACTAGGATGCATCTTTCATGCCTGTCTTTTCTTCACACCTATATCCAATGCATCAGGGAGTCTTACCATCTAAGGCGGATGCTGCTGCTTCACTGCTATTACCTCAGCCTGCTAGGATGCTCCAAGACGGTGGCAGACATTTCCCCACGTGCACTCTTTCCTTCTCTCACTGTTGCAGGCGTGCAGCGGGGCCCCTGGCTCTGGGAAGAGCTCACATTCTCCAGCCTCCCTTGCAGCTAGGCATCAGTGCTTGGCAGAGCTGATGGGGTGGGAGCAGAGCTGGGGTGCTTGGGATGGAGAGGGGCACACTCTCCCCTTTCCACCTTATAAAATATATTATAAAAATTATAAGCCGGGTGAGGTAGCTCACGCCTGTAATCCCAGCACTTTGGTTAACTGAGGCGGGTGAATCACCTCAGGTCAGGAGTTTAAGACCAGCCTGGTTGCACACAGTGAAACCCCATCTCTACTAAAAATACAAAAATTAGCCAGGTGTGGTGGCGTGTGCTGTAATCCCAGGTACTCAGGAGACTGAGACAGGAGAATCGCTTGAACCTGGGAGGCAGAGGTTGCAGTGAGCTGAGATCACACAGCTGCACTCCAGCCTGGGCGACAGAGAGAAACCCTGTCTCAAAAAAAAAATGATAAAAATGTTTTTAAAGAGTAACACAATATGCAAGATTGCATTACCTTTTAAATACTGTTTGCCAAACTGCCTTCCAGAAAGCTTAAGAAATGTGTAATTCCACCTGCTATGTGTAATGATTCCTTTTTCTTCAACTTCACCAACACAGAATATTAAAACACAGAAGGTAGCTGCAATGTGGGAATGGTTATCACTAATTTGGAGTCAGAGTGATTAGGTCAATGTCTTTGGGGGTCACTCAAAACAACAGGATGGAAACGGGCCACACCCTGACCTGCTGGAGCCACCTTACGAAGTCCCAGGCCACTGGCATTGAGACAGGTTATCGAGAGCAGGTTGGCATCAGAAGGTCTTTTTATTCCAGCAGCCAGAACACAGTCCCCTAACACTCAAATGCTCTCTTATCCTCTTGAATTCATTCTCCACGTACAGCCAGAATGATCTTCTGAAAACATAAGTCCTTCCTGCGGCTCCCCTGCAGACCGCCTCATGGCACCCTCCCACTGTACACAAAATCCAGCTCCTCATGCTGGCTTCCCAGCTCCCTGGAGACTCTGAACCCAACTCACTCACTCCCCCCATCCAGGAGGGCTGGCTTTCCTTCTCTTTCTCTTACGTTTCAGGGACATGTGACATCAATCAATCAATCAATCAATCAATGGATGCATGGATATAAAATTTCCTTCACATATCTCTCAGTAAAGGTAGAATGAACAAAAGGAAAGTAATTTAATAATGGCAACCATATCCCCTGCGTGACGACACTCCTTCCCTAACCAAGTCAGTGTTAAAATAAGGCACCTTTCTCCAGGAAGAGAACTCAGAACACTCTCAATACAAAAGGCAGCTCAGACTCTGGCTTTCTACTTACTTCCAGAGGAAGCCACTCAGAGCCCACTGCTAACAACTCAGCACACCAAGTTCTTTTTTTTTTTTTTTTTTTTTTTTTGAGATGAAGTCTCGCTCTGTCACCCAGGCTGATGTGTGGTGGCTCACTGCAACCTCTGCCTACCGGGTTCAAGCCATTCTCCTGCCTCAGCCTCCCGAGTAGCTGGAACTACAGGTGCAGACCACCAGAACCGGCTAATTTTTTCATTTTTAGTAGAGACGGGGTTTTGCCATGTTGGTCAGGCTGGTCTTGAACTCCTGACCTCAAGTGATCTGCCCACCTCGGCCTCCCAAAATGCTGGGATTACGGACACGAGCCACCGCGCCTTGCCTAAGTACACTTTAATTACTGTTTTATCCTTACGACAACATTATAAGTAGGTATTATATCTATAACTCCCTTTACAGATGAGGAAACTGAGGCACAATGAAATTAAGTATGGTTGCACAAATAGCTAGCGGAGACCATAATTTGTTATGCTATTCTTTTTCCTGGGAGGCTCATAATGACCAGTGAAAAATGGAAAACTGGTACTAAGATGAGGGACCTCTCTGAGCCTCAGTTTCCTCACATGGAAATAAAGGAGAATTGCTGCAGATGCTGCTCATTGCCTTAGAGTACCTTTTCTCTTGTTTCCTTGTAACAGAATCTGAGCACTCTTTCATGCTAAAAAAAAAATTAGGTTTCTCAGTCTTCCTTACAATTTGGTGTGGCCATATAACTAAGTTTTGGCGAATTGGATGCAACCAGAAATAGTATGTTGGATTCTTGTAAAGTTCTCCTGAAGAGGAAGAGAGACTGGCCCTGGTTGAACTCCTGCCTTTTTATGTTTGGCTGATCTGCAGAATATAGATGTGATGGCTGGCATCTTGGCAGCTATCTTGGACCATGAGGTAATCATGAGGATGGAATCCATGCACCTGACTACTGAAGTAGAAAGAAAGTTAGGGCCTGGGTCTCAGATATCATGGAACACCAAACCAGCCCTAGACCACTAACCTTAGGAACTTCTTTACATGAAAGAAGAAATTTGTACTTAATTCATAATTAGCCATAGGGTAAGGTAGGGTGCCTGGACAGGGAGCTGTGTTGCTGTCAGCCAAAAGCAGTTCCTAACTGGTGCCCACGCCACGGGGGTCTCCACTGAGACTTTCCTTTCTAGAACATTACATGTGGCATAGCAAGAAAAGGTCTGTAGGATGGGAAATGTTTCAGAGGCTGTTGAAGGACAGGGAGAGGGGCTTTTGTGGGACTGGGGACCCGTATAGGCAACGAAGAACAGGGGGGTTTGGAACAGGCAACAGCAGCATCAGGGCCACGTGAGGCAGGAGGAACGCGGAGGGCAGGGTGCGGGAAACGGCAGACAGCCGGGCCTGGGCTGAGCGCAGCGGAGGAGCTGCTCAGGCTCCTCCGACCACAGGTGCGGAAGGGAGCACATTCCACTCAGCACCTGCCCGAGACACACGGCCTCGCCATTCTCAGTGACAGAACCACTAAGAGCCCAAAATAACACACAAAATAACAACCAGGGAGGTTCGGTGCCTCTGAGATAAAACAGCAAGGACCCTTGTCAACCACAGTGACCCAAACACCTTTACGTTTCCGAATGAACAACACAGTAACCAGGTTAGTGTCACCGGGACGCTGTCCAGGTCGCCTTGGACTGAAAACCTGATTTCTGGTGCTCTTTGAGCGTTGCCTCAGAACACTGGTCAGTATTTCCTAATCGGTGGTCTGGGGTACCAGGCAGGTGTTCGGCAAATGTCTCAGCACCTTTCACTCCCATGCTGGATCTACGTGGACTCCACAGCTGTGTGTGTGAGAGCCACAGGCGTCCACACCATACGCTACGAACACATTTATCAAGGCATCAACAATTTTCATACAACGGCAGACCCAAATCTAATACCTAGAGTTCATTTTCTAAATAATACGTTAAGAAAATTGTTTTATATGTATAAGAATATTCACGCGCGCACACACACACACACACACACACACACACACAATTGGCTATTGGCAGTCAACTTTGTGGTTCCATTTCTCCCTGTCCTGGTTCTTGGCTCCGCTACTTTTCCCGACCCAGCCTGGGTCCCAGGGCGGAGCCTTCCCTTCTCCCGAGTTCAGTCCTAACAGCCCACGGCGGGGCTTCCTTACCATAGCCAGCGGCACTACTCCGATCAGGTCCTTTGGGCTCACATAGATCTTGGACACTCCCAAGTCAGACGTGATCTCTCCGGGGTACTCCACCTGCCAGGTGACCAGCTGTGTGGCTGGCAGGTCGCTGGGCTCTGCCACCTCCACGTCGATCTGCATGACCTCATAGGAGGCGCCATCCCCGCTGGAGAGAAGACACAGAGAAGAAGAGCTTTAAGGGACTGATGAGGAATGACATGCTTGGCTGGGAGCAGGCAGCCCTTGGCCGTTTCTCTCTGGACCTCCACATGTAACCAAGAGCACACATCCCCGTAAAGAGCAATCAGAAGCCGGGCGCGGTGGCTCAAGCCTGTAATCCCAGCACTTTGGGAGTCCGAGGCGGGTGGATCACGAGGTCAAGAGATCGAGACCATCCTGGTCAACATGGTGAAACCCCGTCTCTACTAAAAATACAAAAAAATTAGCTGGACATGGTGGTGCGTGCCTGTAATCCCAGCTACTCAGGAGAACTGAGGCAGGAGAATTGCCTGAACCCAGGAGGCGGAGGTTGCGGTGAGCCGAGATCGCGCCATTGCACTCCAGCCTGGGTAACAAGAGCGAAACTCCGTCTCAAATAATAATAATAATAATAATAATAATAATAATAATAATAAATAAATAAATTAAAAGAGCAATCAGAGATGCCATTCCAAAATAACAAGCCAGCTTTAATATGCTTTGCAGCATTTGCCTGGGCTTAGACACTACTCCAGTTTCCAAAGTCCCTGGGCTGTGGGCTGCTCAGCTGCCCCAGAGCAAGTATCCGCGGATAATCATGGGACACAGTGATTCCATTTCTTAAAGGCTACGCTTCCTTTCCCATTCTCCGTTGGGAGCCCACTTTTCCTCACTCTCACGAATTTCTATGCAACTTCTATCGGATTTTCCAAAGCTACAGCCAGATGGAGTTGGGTGCACAGAATTTTAGGGATGTCTGAGGGTCACATGGCTCTGTTATCTGGCAGCGGTAAGACAGAATTCCAGAGAAACAGGTGAGGTGGGCACGGCACAGCAGGGTCGAGGGGTCGCTGTGATGAACATGGAGAAGGCGCCAGATGTTACATGGAAATGGGAGTCACGGTGATCGACACTAGTTTTTAGACACTCGCTTTTCCTATAAGCATACATGTAGAAACAAGTCCACCTGGGATTTTCTGGATTGTTCTTAGAGGGCTGTAAGCAGTTTAAGTCGCTAGCTGCCTCGTTGTAGTGAGTTTTGGTATAAAGTCTGTTCTTCTATGTGACTGGTAATAAAATGTAACCTTGGTGCCCGCCTCTCCCTGAAGAGTAAATGAACCGGACGTGGGTGAGAATGAACAGAGGAACCCACTGAGGGAGATGCTTTTTAAAGCCTCAGTGGCCAAAGCAACGTCTACCTGCCAGATTTTATACCACTGAGACATGACCACCGAACTCTGACGTTTAGGAGAATAAGGTTTGTCCTTTTCTCTGAAAGGACACGTGGCAGAGCTATGACATTTTTATCACATCACCAAACTCACCTAACTTTATCAGGAAGAAGCTCAGAGAGAAATGGTGAGGCTTCCAGGGAGCCTGATTCTCAGGGAGGGATGAGACGGAAAACTAGATACCAGGAGAGATTCTCATGGACAGAGGAGGAAGGAGGGAAGGGGAGAGAGAGACAGAGAGAGAGAAAGGAGGGAGAAAGAAATGGAAGGAGATAAATAGAAGGGAAAGATAAAAGTGATCACTTGAGATCAGGAGTTCGAGACCAGGTTGGCCAACAGGGCAAAACTCTCTCTCTCCTAATAATACAAATATTAGGCGGGCGTGGTGGCAGGTGCCTATAATCCCAGCTACTCGGGAGGCTGGGGCATGAGAATTGCTTGAACCTGGGAGGCAGAGGTTGCAGTGAGCTGGGATTACACCATTGCACTCCAGCCTGGGCGACAGAATGAAAATGGGTCTTTAAAAAAAAAAAAAGGAAAGAAAGATAGAAAAAGAGGAGGGAGAGGGGAAGGAGAGGAGGGAGGCGCGGGAGAAACGAGATGGGCAGAGCTACCAAAAGCATGAGCCCCAATCGCAGAGGTCAGCCTCCCGCCGACGGAGCAGCTGTCATGGGCTGTGTGCAATGAGGGGAAAAGATGACAGGTGGGTTGGAATCCTGCAAAAACTCACTCCCCTGTGGCTCCTGAAAGAAAGTTGTTTAACTCTTTGAGAAGCAGCTGCTGTGATAAAAAATCATCAACAAATCGCCTAGGGCTTTCTTCTGTGGGCTTTCTTCTCCCACACCTTTCTTTTCCTAAGAAAAGGATGCTGCTGTGTCTTTGAAGTTGCAGGCTGGCATTCTTATTCACGGCTAGAGGGAGCTTGGAATTAAGATGCTGGAACGCACCTTTGTTTTCGTGTTGGAACTTTACAAGAATTTTGGTATGACTCTCCCATGTGATGAATCGAATAATCTCTTTTGTCTGTGCAAGGCCTTGCCTTCTGTTTTTAATTACAAAGAAAGAAATTTATGGAACAGAATAGGATAGTTGCCTTTGAGCTATGAGAAGGCTTGCGTAAGTTTAGCTCCCTGTGCAATAACGTGAGGCTACCCCACAGGTCACATCATACTCTAACCTATTTCCTTCTAGGTTCCCTGGCCTCAAATCAAAACCAACAATCCTTGCTTCCACTGCAAGACTGGGCGTCTCCCACCCCACGGTTTTTACAGTTTGCTTGACAAACAGTTTGTTTGCAAACGGTTTTTGGAGTTTGATTTATCAGAAAAATCTTATAAATCCCTGAATACATTTAAGTTCTTGCCATCCTTAAAGTCTCACCTATAACACAATTCAGTAAATATAATGTAATAAGTGCTCCATTTACTTCATCTCATTTCCCTCTTCCTGTAACCGTATTACTTCATGTAGAGTGAAACACGAAGAAGCCATCGACATTGCCTACTCTACCTACAATTATGCCTACAATTTATGATTGTTCCATAAATTTAGATTTCCCCCTTTTCTTTTTTTTTTATTAAATTTTTTTATTATACTTTAAGTTCTGGGGTACATGTGCAGATTATGTAGGATTGTCACATAGGTATACACGTGCCATGGTGGTTTGCTGCATCCATCACCCCGTCATCTACATTAGGTATTTCTCCTAACATTATCCCTCCCCAATCCCCCCATCCCCTGCCATCCCTCCCCTAGCTCCCCCCAACACCCCCACAGACCCCAGCGTGTGATGCTCCCATCCCTGTGTCTAAGTGTTCTCATTGTTCAACACCCACTTATGAGTGAGAACATGCGGTGTTTGGTTTTCTGTTCTTGTGTCAGTTTGCTGAGATTGATGGTTTCCAGCTTCATCAACACCCCTGCAAAGGACACGAACTCATTCTTTTTATGGCTGCATTGTATTGCATAGTGTATATGTGCTACATTTTCTTTATCCAGTCTATCACTGGTGGGCATTTGGGTTGGTTCTGAGTCTTTGCTATTTTAAACAATGCTGCAATGAACATATGTGTGCATGTGTCTTTATAGTAGAATGATTTATAATCCTTTGGGTATATATCCAGTAATGGGATTGCTGGGTCAAATGGCATTTCTATTTCTAGATCCTTGAAAAATCGCCACACTGTCTCCCACAATAGTTGCACTAATTTACATTGCCACCAACAGTGTAAAAGTGTTCCTATTTCTCCACATCCTCTCCAGCATCTGTTATCTCCAGATTTTTTAATGATCGCCATTCGAACTGGCATGAGATGGTATCTCAATGTGGTTTTGATTTGCATTTCTCTAATGACCAGTGATGATGAGCATTTTTTCATGTTTGTTGGCTGCATAAATATCTTCTTTTGAAAAGTGTCTATTCATATCCTTCACCTACTTTTTGATGGTTTTTTTTTTTTTCTTGTACATTTGTTTAAGTTCTCTGTAGATTCTGGATATTAGCCCTTTGTCAGATGGGTAGATTGCAAAATTTTTTTCCCATTCTGTTGGTTGCCAGTTCACTCTAATGATTGTTTCTTTTGCTATGCAGAAGCTCTGAAGTTTAATTAGATCCCATTTGTCTATTTTGGCTTTTGTTGCCTTTGCTTTTGGTGTTTTAGTCATGAAGTCCCTGCCTATGCCTATGTCCTGAATGGTATTGTCTAGGTTTTCTTCTAGGGTTTTTACGGTGTTAGGTCCTAGGTTTAAATCTTTAATCCATCTGGAGTTAATTTTTATATAAGGTGTAAAGAAGGTGTCCAGTTTCAGCTTTCTGCACATGGCTAGCCAGTTTTCCCAATACCATTTATTAAATAGGAAATCCTTTCCCCATTGCTTGTTTTTGCCAGGTTTGTCAAAGATCGGATGGTTGTACTTGTACGGTATTACTTCTGAGGCCTCTGTTCCGTTCCATTGGTCTCTATCTCTGTTTTGGTACCAGTACCATGCTGTTTTGATTACTGTAGCCTTGTAGTATAGTTTGAAGTCAGGTAGCGTGATGCCTCCAGCTTTGTTTTTTTGCTTAGGATTATCTTGGCTATATGGGCTCTTTTCTGGTTTTATATGAAGTTTAAGGTAGTTTTTACCAGTTCTGTGAAGAAGGTCAATGGTAGCTTGATGGGGACAGCATTTAATCTATAACTTCTATAAATTACTCTGGGCAGTATGGCCATTTTTTTCATGATATTTATTCTTCCTATCCATGAGCATGGAATGTTTTTCCATCTGTTTGTGTCTTCTCTTACTTCCTTCAGCAGTGGTTTATAGTTCTTCTTGAAGAGGTCCTTCACTTCCATTGTTAGTTGTATTCCTAGGTATTTTATTCACTTTGTAGCAATTGTGAATGAGAGCTTGCTCACGATTTGGCCCTCTGTTTGTCTGTTATTGGTGTATAGGAATGCTTGTGATTTTTGTACATTAATTTTGTATTCCAAGACTTTGCTGAAGTTGCTTATCAACTTAAGGAGACTTTGGGCTAAGACAATGGTGTCTTCTAAATATACAATCACGTCATTTGATTTCCTCTTTTCCTAATTCAATACCCTTTGTTTCTTTTTCTTGCTTGATTGCTCTGGCCAGAACTTCCAATACTATGTTGAACAGGAGTGATGAGAGAGGGCACCCTTGTCTTTTGCCAGCTTTCAAAGGGAATGCTTCCCGTTTTTGCCCATTCAGTATGATATTGGCTGTGGGTTTG